ATATATAAATTTATTTATCAAGAACAATTTCAGCCTAAGAGACAAAGTACAGCAAGTTTTCATTTAATTTTTTCAAATATATGTTTGGGATAAATAGCTGAGCCTATTCACGGGCACTTCGACGTAGTTTAAATGGTTAACAAACTTGTCTCGCTAGATCAATTATGAGAGAGTTTGATTTTCGCTGGATTTCCCATACTTTTGTTTGTCCTTATCTTTGCTTAGTAAATCACTATATAGTCTATCCTAATTCATTTAGTTTCTCTTTAATTTAATTATGTGTTTTCTCAATTTTGTTACTGAATATCCCACATATCCCGGGTAAACTATATGCACAAAATTTATATCTAAAAAACAATAAATTACATTTAAAATTTTCAGGATTCCCTCTCCTTTTTTTAGCACATGTGTAGTCGCGTCAACGTAAACATTACTTTGTAGTCCGATGGAATCCTAAGATGAATAAGTTTCTAATAAAACTTATAAAAATTCAAGCCACCAAATAAATACAATAGGCCCAAAAAGTTTTTGATCACCTTCTAGGTTCAATAATTAAAAAGTTTCACATCTTCTTCGGATTAAATTAATTCTTACTAAACTGATCCCATTAGTGCATGACGTTGACCATTTTAGTGAGGGGTTGAACTAAAATTTAAAATTACCCACACCTGAGAATACTATGACCCAGCAAGACTGATTAGGTGAAAAGAGCTAAAATATTAAAGAAAACTTTATGCAGCTACGCGTTAATTAAATTATTATTATTATTATTATTATTATTATTATTATTATTATTGGATATATGATAAAACGCGTCAAGTAGTGAAAGGCCAAAGTGAACTCGTAAATTTATTTTGAAAAAGTCACGCAACCTTCAATCTTTTAGGTGATTTTTTGAAAACCCGCAGTTAGCCCCCAAATTTTCATAATATATATATATATATATATATATATATATATATATATATATATATATATATATATATTATATATAATTTATATATATATATATATATATATTTTATATAATTTATATATATATATATATATATATACATACACTTTATATAATTTATATATATATATATATATATATATATTATATAATTTATATATATATATATATATATATATATATATATATATATATATATATACTATAATTTATATATATATATATATATATATATATATATATACTTATATAATTGATATATATATATATATATATATATATGTATGTATGTATGTATATATGTGTGTGTGTGTGTGTGTAAAATCTGTATATATATATATATATCTATATGCATATATATATATATATATATATATATACATACACTTTATATAATTTTTTTCATTTATATATATATACACTTTATATAATTGATATATATATATATATATGTATGTATATATATATGTGTGTGTGTGTAAAATCTGTATATATATATATATATATATATATATATATATATATATATATATATATATATACAATATTTTATATATATTATTTATATATTATATATATATGGTACTTATTTTGTACTTATTGTTTGTCTGACGATCGCAAATAGCGTAAAACCCAGTGTCACAAACTGACATCAATCCAACTAAATATATATATATATATATATATATATATATATATATATATATATATATATTATTGTTATTTATTTATTTTTTATATTTCAGACAGATAAATATTGGTATTCGTCGTACTAATGTTATATTCTGAAGAGTGAAACTAAATATTGTCAGTTTGTAAAATGATGGAAAAAATAATATAGAAAATTTCGGAAAATTTAAACTCAAATCACTGAAAAAGTCAAGTCAAAAATTGAAAACATTGGCAAAAAAAATAATTTAAAAATCAGGCTTCAAGAGTCTCGAGAATAGTGAAAAGAGTAATAATTAGCAAAAAAAAAAAAAAAAAATAGATTGATCAACACGAAAATTATTGAAGTTGGTGTTGCAAACGTAAACAGAGAGAAAAGAATCCGAACGTTAAAAAAATTGGCGCAAGGTTGAGTGAAGAAGCACATGTAAACTGATTTCTAAACAGTAATTTTAATGATGAATGTAGAGCTACATTGGATAGACCTGATATTTGAGATAGAAATTGGGCCCTTCATGAAAATAATCAACCAACGCGTCTGAGAAGTCAACAGAGGCGAGGAATAGAGAAATGTATTATATGCAGTAAAATTATAGGTCTTTTCAAAGCTGATAACGCCAAAATAAATGCAAAGAATTATTGAGTACTTAGACAAAGTTGTCTTTTTGAATGGTATAATTCACAACCAAGAAACTTTAATAAAAATCGTATATTCACGCAATGTTAATCAGATACGTGTTTGTGACCTAAATCTTTTGGATTTTTGTATGAATACAAATTTACATTACATTTTGCATAAGAAAACCTGACTTTTGAAAAATTAAGTTAACTCATATGAATTATATATATATTTATTATTATTGCATTATTCAAGTCATAAGTTCTAGGTTTATCAATATTTTTGATATGTATACATGTTCAAACATAGACCAATATATACCAATATTTTGCCAACAGGTTGGGTAATACCAATTTCATTGTGAAAAAAAATTAACTTGTATTACATATTCAGAAATCTATCGGTCTCTCTATCTCACAGTTTGTTCCTATTTATCTATCTATTTATCTATCTCCCAATCTGTTTCTATCTATCTATCTATCTATCTATCTATCTATCTATCTATCTATCTACTGACAAAAATGTCGACCAGCATATTTCTGCAAGACAGCGTTTTTTAGGCAAACTGTTATTGCAATTAGAGTGCTCGAATCTAATAGTGCGTTATTCGTAATAAGCTAAGGTAAAATAAGATTTATAATAATTTTATAATTCTCTTGAAGAGTGGATTTAACCTCCGTGTAACAAAATAAGAGAACTTTTAATTTCTCAGTTTATCTATCTATCTATCTATCTATCTTGGTCTGTTCATATTATCTGTGTTCAGACAAAAGCGTTGGTGCAATTATCATACGCATATTTCGCATTTAAACCGTGTGAGAAACTCGTAAATGCACGTGCGCTTAGCATCTGACACGGTAACTAATGCGCCTGCGCGCACACGCACGCACGCAGAGACGCGCGTGCGAACGCTAGAAAGACTTCGCTCGAGATATCCACATGCGACCACATCGATCCGTATGCCAAAAACACACGACACGTATGTTCATCTCATTGTTCCACTGATATCAGATACACAACAAGGCTGGACGTATAGCTAAAAAAATCAAATCAACGAGACATGATAAAATCTGAACATCACAAATACGGATAAATACAAACATAAATAAATAACAATAATTAAAAAAAAAAAAAATTAAATTCGTTATTTTTTTTGTGACGTATTTTATTCTATTTTATTATTTATTCATTATTATTGCAAAATATATATCTTAAAATTCGTTTCCGTGTTTGGTTTGCGTAGTAAATTCTAATTTAGACATTTTTGATTCTGAGAACTTTTGAAATATTAGGTGAGTTTTTACACAAAGACTTACTTTTTTTTTTGCACACACACGACATAGAGATACATATGGTGAGTTTTTACAAAAATACTTTTTTTTAAACACCTAAATGGAGAGATGTAAACATCAACACATTTAAAGTTTGATGTATGAATATTTACGTCTATCCATGTATAATGATTTACAGAATCCAACTCATAAATAAACACACTTACATACAAATATATACAAGTAAATATCAGTATTTACTAAATAAATATCATATATAAATGATACACGTGTATATGCACACATCTGCAGCCAAGACTCTAGGGGTGGTATGAGGGAGCGTCAGGCCCGTCGCTTTTTGCTGGAATTGAAAACTAAGAAAGACGAACTTTGTCTCCTTCTCATTCTATGACTGAACTGTAAATTTTTGTCTAAAATCGTTAGTTCAATTAACTTTCAAAATAAATCAGATAAAACTTCAATTTACTTTTCTTCTTTATTTTTTTTTCTTTCTTTTGAAATATGAGCTTCTAAAACTTCTGTCTTATACGCGGGAATTGTCCATAGATGACGTTACAAAAAAGAAATACAAACGTACAGCCAAGAAATCAAAACAAAGACTCGATAGTAGCTTAATATATTTTCATTTAAAACAAAAAAAACAAACACAAAAAACAAAAAAACAAAAAAACATTAATTTTAACAGAGGATCAGTTAATATAAAAGAATTAATGAACTTATTTTTAGTTTCATAATTTCAAAAAACGTCATGATAGTGTATATTTAAAATAGACACCCTATTTTTATGACTGCTTGTTTAAATAGTGTGCAAACAGCCGATATAGGCGTACACAGTATTTTAAATAAAATAATGGGGCGTCTATTTCATATACGAATATCCACTATAATAACGTTTGAACTAATAATAAAGACACTTTAAAAATTAAAAACCTACTTAGACTTTTAACATCTGATACGACAGAATTTTGATTTTGTTGCGCTCTGCCTGACCCGAATATACACACACGGAGGTTGGCGAATAACTGTCACAATGTGTTCAACATTGCTGGATATATATATTTATATATACATACACCAAAACGTAACAGACGCTACTTAAGGACAATGACACGTATAGTAAATAGATCTACAATGTACAAAAATTGAATACACACGCACACGAACACAAATTGAGAGACCTTCATCAAGCAATAGTATGCTTACGTAACAGCGCGTAGTATATACCATCACGCATCGATATTTGCTACACATGTGTCATATACACTTACGAATGTTTGTTCTCGAAGTAAATTCCATTTTTTTTTTATTAGAATTTTTCATATTTGGAGGATGGTGAAGATAGGTAGATAAAAGTAAAGCGCACTGATCCAACATTTGTAGTTTTAGAATTAAACCCTGATATATATATATATATATATATATATATATATATATATATATATATATATATATATATATATATATATAGGCAAAGTCAGTTTTGAGTTTTAGTGATTAGTCAAACAAACATAGTTAAAACACGTGCTGCAGTATATACTTGTCATAAAAAAAAGAAAAAAAAATATAAACATATGCATCAAGGTACCGACACACAGACACACAAAGAAACTCGTTTGCTCTGTAATTAAACACGGTGATAAAAAAATACACGTACAGGTACATGGCGAATGCACGTACTCTCCACGCGTATAAACCCACCCGTACACACGGACTCTCCATCTAAAATTTAACACGCCGATAAAGCCGTACGCACACACGCACACACGCCTTCAGCCAGACACACGCACCTAGATACACGGTGTGTGTGTGTGTGTGTGGAGCGGCTTTTCTAGTGTTCTACTCTTGTGCATTTGCCAACCATAGATGCGTATAGTTTGCGTGGAACGCAGCGGTGGGCGAGCCAACATCTTTTCTCTTCGCTTACTGCTGTTTAAACTCTCTGTCGGCCTGCTGCCCAACTCGTAGTATAAGCACCGTAGCGTACACTATTCAACCAATCTTAGCGAGAAGGCTTGCTCGCGAGGCCTGGTGGAGGGGCCTCGTTTCGAACGACGAGCCAAGTGCGTGCCACTGTTAGCATGTGCGTAGCTGTGAATTTGTCGACGTAAAAGCCAGCCGATCGTACAGTTCTCCGTCCTTCTCACTGTCAGTCTGTCCGTCCGTAAGCACCTACTGTCCGTCCGTCCACCTCGCTATCTATTCAGGTCATTTCTCCGTCCGAGAGCTCCGTCCCCGCCCCCCCCATCCTATTACCATAACTTGCGAATTAGTTATCATTTACAAACTTTCAACACTTTTCCTTTTGATTTTCTTTTTTTTTTTTTTTTTTTTTTTTAAAAAAAAAAAAAAACAAAACATGCAAACCAGAAAAATATATAAATTTATATTCAAACTTTCTTACCATTTTTGGTAAACGAAGTCGAGCATTTTTTTTCTCTGGCTATAACTAAAATAGTTATTTTTTAGTCTGTATTATTTTTTTAATCGAATGCTAAACCAGTTTTCGATTAACGTCTTAGTTATTAAGTCTTTGACCAGAAAAAAAAAGATAAAGAAAGAAAAAAAAGTAACATCTAAGCAGTTCAGAAATAATCACTTAACTAAACGACCTCTGACCTTCGTTTACTTAACTCCCTTTTGTCAACGTAACTAAAACATAACTAATATTTACGGGTCGCTTACGGGACTTATCCAGTTAGATTTTTTTCTTCCTTTCCAAAATAACATAGTCACGTCTTTCTGAAACACGTGTTCGGCAATATCGACAATACCGAAGTTGTTTTTCTTCTCTATACGACGTTATACATATTTTGTTATGGAAGGTCTATTTATAGGGAGAGGAATTTTCAACGGAAGCCCAACGGTTAAAACTTTCCGATTGCTTTGAGGAAAAAAAAACGGTGGACCGTTAAAGCGACACGGAAATCAAATTCCGCCGAAAACCCTTGCCGACGATTTACCGCAGCGAAAGAGTGTACTTTTTGCTGTAATTGCGATCCAGGTGTTCCCGGCCAGCACTTAAGAACTCGTATTTAGGCAACAGCAGCAAAGTGGCGCCGTCTGAAACCCCGCCGAAAGATATGGAGGTCCAGCGAAGGAAAAAGAAAAAACGAAAGAGCAATTTTGCTGCCTGTGAAGTTTCGGCCATTATGGAGGGCATTGGCAAGAGAATGACCACCGTCAACGCCAAATTCACGGACAGCGTGACCAACGCCAAGAAAATGAAAGCATGGCAAGAGATAGCTGAATTGGTCAACACCGTCTCCCCTGTTGGCCGGTCTGTGGAAGAGGTAAAAAAGAAATGGGAAGATATGAAAACTCGGACAAAAAAAAGGGCCATGGAGGTCCGAAGTGTTGGTTTACTGGGGGACGATGATTCGGCCCAGATTCGCTCTTATTTAACCGAATATGAACTAAGGGTTCTCTACTTATTAGGAGATGCAGCTGTTGGAGGGACACCACCAACCTCCAGCGGTAACCAGCAGTCAGGGGTTCAAGGGTCCGGTGGAGGCACCGGTGGGGCTGACAATGAGGAAGAGGAGGATATGGTTCAAACTGCCCCCAAAGACATGACCATAGACCACCAGCAACAACAAGTAAGTAAACTTTTCAAAATATTCCGTTCTACCTGTTGCGGGTAAAAATGGCATGTACCATGATGTGACTCCGCCTTCCTTTCCCCCTTTTACGTTCAAATGGAATAATCCATTTTAAGGGGTGGGGGAGACGTCTCTCTCTCTCTCTCTCTCTCTCTCTCTCTTTTTCTCAATTCTTTTTTTCTTAGTGATTTTTTTTTCTTTTTCGATATTATATATGATTTTGCATTTACTTTTCTTGCATGTTATTCACGGTTTTTGCCTTTCTCTTTTTTGTGCATTCTCTTTCTTTCTTTCTTTCTTTCTTTCTTTCTTTCTTTCTTTCTTCACACCATCCCACCACACCCCTACCTTTTATTTTGCATTTGATGCCCTTTGCACTGTTTTTCAACCCTGACCTAACATCTCAGTAACATTGACCACATAAAGGCGAAATCCCTTTTTCCACCGACCCGGACAAACTTTGTAAGCGAGGGTTCCTCCTCCTCCTCCTCCTCCTCCGAGAGAGAGAGAGAGAGAGAGAGAGAGAGATAGATAGAGAGAGATAGATAGATAGAGAGAGAGATAGAGAGAGAGAGAGAGAGAGAAAACAAAAAACAACTTTTGCACGCGATACTTCGCAAACTGTTTTCAATTGCTTTGCCACATACACACAGACACACACACAGACACACACACACACACACACCATCAACACCACACACATACACAGAACACTAGCTTGTGATATAATCAGACTTTATTTAATTATTATTATAGTTAATACTTGTTGAAAACATTTATCTTTGTATGCTGGTTTTATATGACAACATTATTATTATTATTATTATTATTATTATTATTATTGTTATTATTATTATTATTGTTATTATTATTATTATTATTATTATTATTATTATTGTCGTGGTCATGGTAAAAAAAATAATCCGGTCGAAATTGTTGTGGTTATTGCGGTCTTCGCTAAGAGGTTAGCGGATTGAATTGCAAAGTGAGAGTTCGACTTGTAAGTCTTGCCTATGATTTGTCCTTCTACAAAACAAAAGCCACTTTATTAAAATAAAGGAACACTTGAATTTAAAACGTGAACAAAGAGAGCCTCGTTCTAGTCGTCAGCAGTGAACCCTGACTTAGGAATGCGTCGTGTGTATTGAACTAAGTTGAAACTTAAACAAGTTAACAAGGATAAAGTTTTCATCGATTTTACCACAAACAAAACACAATATACAGTCATGTCTATCTTCTTAACGCAGACACCGATGTGTTGAGTGAGAGGATTGGCAGCTATAATGATGACTATATAAAGTTTATAAACATATTTTGATCTTATTTGTTGAAATTCATGAAATACCCACATTTGATGAAACTTATGCGTGCTATGAAATTAAAAATTGATACATACGTAGACACAATTTTCTTACACTGACCTCTTTCTCGATATCGATTCACTTTTTACATAGAGAAGTATTTAAAGTTTTGTGTCGAATGATATTTATAAGAAAGAAAGAAAGAGAGAGAGAGAGAGAGAGAGAGAGAGAGTGTGTGTGTGTGTGTGTGTGTGTGTGTGTGAGTGAGAGAGAGAGAGAGAGAGGTGGGAGGCTGGAGTTGCGTATTCCGTAGCTGGACTTTCGAGTGCTTATTTTCAAGGCAGATAGCTGTTCTTACGGATTAGTACAATACGGTGTTCTGCCCCAGTTTCTTTATATTATATTTACGTTAGAAAAATTAAAGCTTAGAAAATATCCATAAATTTAATCTGACGAAGGAAAGAAAAATAGAAAATTCCTGAGAATGTACGATGATCGGGTAATTTCCAACTGATAGAGATTTTCTGTACCTTCTATTCTTTCCTTGAGAAGGAAAGCATTTAAACAGTTGGCAAGTAGGTGAACATCAGAATTACATATTTTACATTTTTCTGATAAACCGTAAATCCATATTACGCTATTATTAAATATATGCCGAGAATTTTTTTTTAAGGTGTGGCTGGATGTAAAATAGATTTTTCTTTTTAATTAAAAGTATATTTCCATTCAACTTTGAAGTTTGGCTACTTTAATCTCAGACAAACGCTAGGAGATTTTTCACCAATAATAACTGATAAGTAAATAATCTCCCTTTGTAGAATTTAAAAATATCTTCTTTAATAAAACTGATCACATAAACAATGATCTTGGAAAAGATTTCATTTATATTTTTGTATGTTTTATCCATTGGTTACTTAACAGATTGAAAAATTCCAAGAACAAATAAGTAAATAAAAATGGAAAAGGGTCATTAAAACAATGAATTAATTGCATGAAAAAATAATTTCGAAACAATGTCCATGCCGACGGAAAAGATAAGTTTTAAAGAGAGAGAGAGAGAGAAGGGAGAGAGACACAGAAAGAGTGAGAGAGAGAGAGGGGGAAGAGAGAGGGGCAAGAGAGAGAGAGGGGGGCGAGGGAGAGAGAGAAAGAGAGGGAGACGAAAGTAAGAAAAGTTTGAACGAAGTCAGGGATATTTTAGATACCTCAAAAAGTGGCTTTACTTTACTTTCTTTTGCATCACCACAACCACTAACACCACCACCACCACTAACAATAACAACACATATCATCATCATTGCCCATCATCAATAACTGTTTTTAATTAGCGTTTCTCATTGTTGCTATCATTATTGAAAATGCTGTAAATCATTATATATATATATATATTACACACATACACACACATATGTATGTATGTACATATATATATATATATGTGTGTTAAAAATTGCTGTCTTCTTTTTTCTTCTAATTTCCATTAAAATAGAACAAATTAATATTCAGCCCATATAAGATGTTATTAGCATTACTAGCAGTTATAGTCATTCATTTTTATTTTATATTTCATTTTAATATTCCCTAACTCTTCAAAGATTATTATTATTAGTAGTAATAGTACTACTAGTATAATTAAAATCATGAATGTAAAAAAAAACTTGTTACACTTCTAAACCCCGTTGCTACCATAATAATAATAATAATAATAATAATAATAATAATAATAATAATAATAGTCTTAAAAGTTAATCCATTCAATTACAGCATTACTACAAATTGGTATGAATACTGAAGAAGTTGAAGTATTCGTGCGAAGACTTGTTGTCACTTGATATCCAGCGAAATCCATCAAATATTACCGGCGTGGAAACGATGAAATAATAATAATAATGATAATAATAATAATAATAATAATAATAATAATAATAATATAATTATGTTTTCGATGTTGATAGCGTTTCACTATTTATTCAAATTATTATTAATATTAAATATTAATTACCCATCTTGTTACTCTTCGACTTTTGTCCTTATCTGTGGTGCTATATTGAAATTCTTCACTAACCACGCGCAGTATTTTTAGGAAAACATTTTTTCCGTGTTGCCAAACAAAACTTTAGATTTCTTTTTGAAATGATGAACAAAGATTTTAGCAGTTTATTTTTTGTCACGTCGATTGCACAATATCCTTTTTTGTTATTTTTTTTAGTTACTGTTGAACATTGACCAACAGATAATATTAATAACACATTATTTTATTATTATTATTGTTGTTGTCGTTGTTGTTATTGTTGCTGCTGCTGTTGTTGTTGATGATGATGACGATGATGATGGCAAAGTGGGGGATGTGTATACACCGTATCGTATCTATAGAGAATGGCACCGTGAAATCTTAAAATAATTCAAGTGACTTCACTTATCAAATTGTTTACATTTTAGTTACATTTGAAAATGAAAGGCATAATCCCCTTATTATTATTATTATTATTATTATTATTATTATTATTATTAATAATAATAATTTCGAAGTTATTTTGTCATTATAGACGTTTTTTAAATATTACATTTACATCATCATCATCGTCATCATCATCATCATTATCATTATCATCGTCATCATTTTCTTGGCAACTCAACGACTACTTTTGTGTTTAAATTTATTTCTTATCTTCGTTTTGATAATTTTTACACTGGGGAAATATTTCTACGGTTCAATTAGACTGACATTTCTTTATTCTGTATATTACCCATTATGAATTGGATTTAGCGCTTACAGTAACAATTACGACTGTTAGTGTTAAAACTAAAAGTTAATACAATTCATTTGCTACTAGATCGCTAGTAAGAAAATGTTTCTAATTTTTAAAAATATCGTCTTTGACCGCCTTTTTTTCTTTTTGTAAAAAGAGAGCAAATCATTTTTATTGTTGTCGTTGTTAAAGATGAGATGGTAGCGATTATTAAAGTTTAATCGTTACTCCTTGAAATCTACAGGTGATCAATGCGCACTTAACGAATAAAAAAGGTAGACAAAAAAAAAGGACCCTTTTTAAGAATAAAAAGCAGATGTAGACACACGTGCAGTCGGAACTAAAAAGACAAGATTGTTATTCAGACAAATAACAATCATAGTAATCGACTTTTTGTGAGAATTTCTTTGCGAAAACGAATGATTTATTATTAAAAACACACGTAAAAGTGAAATAAAATAACCTGAAGTAGGTGAGGAAAGTAAACACATATATATTTATTGTTCCTCTCTTAAAATATAAAAGTTTCTGTCCTTGCGTTAACGGAGAAGATTATTGTCAGAATTCTATGCAGGTACAATGCCAGCATCAGTTCTAAGGTTACTTTTTTTTTCTTTTTTAACGAGATATTATTTATTAGTAGTATTTAAAGGAGATTAAAACATGCGGAAATAAATGTCAATATATTTGTCTTGTTAAATCACCACTGTAACTTAAAAAACATCAGGACATATTTACGAATTGAGAGAAAGAAAGAGAAAGAGGACCGGAAATTTATTAAGAAACGCGGTGTTGTATAAGTTTCTGATTATATAAAAATCGAACTTAGAAGCTTTTACATTTCCCGTGAGGCCAATACGCTGACTATCCTAGCAGGAGGCTAGTTACTTAGATAGATAGATAGATAGATAGATAGATAGATAGATAGATAGATAGATAGATAGATAGATAGATAGATAGATAGATAAAGAAAAGATTGGGATATATAGATAGATAATGAAAAGATTGGGATATATAGATAGATAATGAAAAGATTGGCATAGATAGATAGATAGATAATGAAAAGATTGAGATAGATAGATAGATAGATAGATAGATAGATAGATAGATAGATAGATAGATAGATAGATAGATAGATAGATAAAGAAACGATTGTGATAGATAGATAGATAGATAGATAGATAGATAGATAGATAGATAAAGAAACGATTGTGATAGATAGATAGATAGATAGATAGATAGATAGATAGATAGATAATGAAAAGATTGGGATAGATAGATAGATAGATAGAGAGATAGAGAGATAGATAGATAG